TTAAAAGATCTTGAATAGATATAAAATCTATTAATAGAGATATTAATAAAATAAAAATATTAGATTGTTAATTATAAAACACGATTTAGACAGTATTAACGGCATTCTAGATGTAATAAGTATAATCGCTACGTATTTGCAACGATGCGGAGTTGACGTTTGTTGTCGAAAGGAGATCTCATCATATTTGTTAATGTGTTGTTAAGAGACACAGTTCCCATGACAGTCCTTGTTCAAGAATAGATTCGAAGGAAGTAACCCAGATTACTATATTAAAGACGGGAAGCTTTATTGACATTTTTGGGATTAAATAGATTATGCCGAAATGGAAATGTCATCTCCCTGAGAAATGTGCATTTCGAAACCACAATAATACGCGATGTGATGAGAGAAAATACACGAATCGTCTCGACTATTAGTGGACATTTAGCAGTCGGTAACACACCATGAGCTTTCGTCAATACAAAATCTGAATCATCTACGAATGAATACAATAAATCAAAAAGAAAGAAGCGTGTATTGAATAAGGCGAATCATGTTAAAAAAAGGGAAGAAACTTGCAAGACGAGAAGCAGAAATGTTTGTCACCCATAAGGAGTTTTAGTATAAGCAAAAAAAAAAGAACCCGTGTGCTGGATGCGGTACTTGCCGTAAGAAATGTATGGCAAATTTATTAACAGGAAAGACGTTACCAGACATAGTTTCCGCCATCTTTTATTTATTACGCAATTAAAAGTGGATTAAAGTAGGATTAACAACTCCGCCTTAAAACTGGACTACCACGGATAAGCTATGGTAAACTCGCCGGACGAATCCCTGGCCCTTCATGCTAAGAAAAAGGACTAAGCGAATGACATTGTGATTTGAAACATAGAATGTATGGACATTATTGCAGGCAAGTAAAATATAAAATGTGAGAAGAACTGATTAAATATGATATAGATAGAAAGGAAGTGGCTTAATTAAAAAGAAAGAAATTACACGGTTTTGTATAGTGGTGCGGAATAGCAAGACAATTATGGCAAATTTGACATCATAACATTTACAAATATACAATATGTTGAAGAGCTTTAAACTGTTTATGATGCCATATCATGGAGTAACTGCATTATTATTGTGGGTAATGCTAATGCTATACTCGGAAATAACAAGATATGATTAATAAACAAAACTTCCACCATAAAACTCATCACAATAAAATGAGACTAGTATTATAAATTAGCCAATAACTTCAAAATCGTCAGCACGCAAAATCCATAAGGGAACATGGCTATTCCCATGTAGGGGTGAATGCAACCAGATCGATCACGGGTTAATCCTCAGAGATGGGCTTCATCTATAAATGAAGTAACGATAATAACTGATCATACATAGAAAGATAATGGAAAAAACGAATATTGCAGGATAAAAATACCTACAACAAATCACAAGATTTCGAAACTGCATACAAAGAAATAAGGAATTATCATCGTAACGTTTATTAACCCAACCTAACGGAATTTTCCGTAGAAAGGAAAAAGAAAATCTCAAACAGAAAATAGTAATATGTAAGGATGACAACGGAAAAATTTCTAAGATCAAAAGAGATAGACAAACAATCAAGATGTTAAAGAATTACTAATGAAGCATCTGGAGAGAATATGTGGATAGCCAAATATCATAATAATATGTATATCATAATAATATAGAAAATATGGAGAATTAATAAATTCCAAAATTGTGGAAGGTAGCTATCATCCAGCTCATCTACAAGAAGGGAGACAATCTAAACGATGGCAACTACAGAGGTATTAAACTGCTAAACACTCTTGAACACTCTTCTCGTCTTAAACCTTACTCCGAACGAACCCACATTCTGCGGAGTATGCAATATATAAAATTCTTCAAATATAAATGAACCTATATATATTTACATCGATTTAACACCAAATTAACAGAAGGATACAAAATGGTGCTGGATTGAACCACGAATTGTACCAGCTAATGGATGGTGTAGATATAGCACGACACATAAAAGCGCAGAAAATAGCATGGCTGGGACACCTGGAAATGATGCATAGAGACAATGGAGTGAAATGAATTACGGAATGATACCACAGGAACAGAGGACTGATGAAAAGCTAAAGAAACAAGGGAAGGATGATGTGATGGTGGGCATTAGGACGCTTGGCTTACATAAGTGGAGCGAGTGGCGTTCGATAGATTTTATTGGTAACGTATTGTGAAGCATGCCAAGTAGAGTTGAAAAAAAAATAAGATGATATTGATCTTGGAATCTCCATCTTCTCTTCATAAACTTAACGAGAAGCAAACAAAGGTATAAACGAAGTTTGCACTGCTATTGAGATTATTATACTGACTTGAATGAAATAGTTGCTCTGGACAAAATAAAAATGATACTCTAACAAGATTTCTTTTGACATTAACTATGATAGGCCTCATTGACTATTTAGTATCTCCAGATTGAGCAAGAAGGATAATGTTGTTTTGCCTGTAGGGCAGGTCTACTAAGGCAAAGTTGCCGTAAATGACAAGAAACTGCAAAATGAGGCAACTTCATCCTCTATTTTTTCGTCCAAGCGATTATTGTATTTCAGGCTGTTTGTAGTATGCCATTGGATCACTCCTGATTCAGCCCAGCGATGGGAGTGAAGAACTCAGCCAGATTTTCAGAGAACAGCGTTAAATTTTGCTTATTGTGATTGGCCTATGATCCATTGTTGTTTCGAAAAGGAGTAACAGAAATAACATTTCTTTTGATCCTGATTGCAATCTACAGTGAGCAATTGATCACTTCATAGGCTGATAGTTCTTCTAGATTAGTATTCTTTTAATAGCTTTCGATTCTCCTTTAAACTTTTGAATTTCACCTCGGAGTTTTGTTGTTAAACATGGCTTATTCTGAGGGATCCTTCGATTGCGCCACCATCTTTTTCTAATTCTTCGTTTTCTTTTAAGACGTTCTCTAATCTCAAGTGGATAAATCACACCTGTGAAAGCTTTCCTAATCAGTAGTTTCATTAGTAAGGGTAGGTCTTGCTACTTTTTTCATTATTCTTGTATTTAATATTAATATGACAGTTGAGTGATCGGAGTCTATGTCAAAGTTCGCTTCAACTCCTATGAAGTTGAAAAATACCTTCCTGGTGATAAAGAAGTTTAATACTTCTTCTCTTTGATTCTTTATTTCGTCCTAAAGCTTTTCCTTAGTTCTCTTCCTTTGGTCGTGGTTACCCTGAACCAATCCACAAGTTCGTTCAGCAATAAATCTTTCGCGTAAATGTATCTGGAGAGTTAAGTATTTTTTTTATTAAGTTATATAAATGACATAATAAACTTTACGGGCGGTAAACTACACCACTACTCAACTTTGTATTGATGACTTAATTCCGATTACTATTACTTGGATGTTCTTTCTTTGTCGATGGCATTCTTCGGAGTGGTCAATCGATTCTTTTAAAATGACTTGATAACCACTTATTTTAAGGTATGCTTAACTTGTCATGTGTGTCTCAGATACGAGGCAGACATCTGTGAATTAGATATTCAAGAAGACTTCAAGGTCATGGTTTTTGTTAGAATGTCATTAACATTCCAGGTAGTCATATAACCTTTTTATTTTTGTATAGTCCAGTATTTCTGGCGTCTGATTTGTCAAGTTTTGCATTATCTGCATCATGGAGATATTTCGGATGTCGATGGAACAGGTGCTCACTCTGTTGGATTCTTTTGCATGCTCTAGCCATAAAATATGCCATTTTCTATATTAGAGACACCTTATTGTGCTTGGGTAGCAACTTTTTTCGTATTATTATTATCTCTTGTTTCTCCAGCTTCATTGCTGTTGTGTATCCACTGTAACTCTAGCCGGGTACTCTTTTTTTACAGTTAACGCACTTGGCGGTGTGATTTTAGTGCAGTTTTTAGTTAGATTGTCTTATGCGCATTTCACGGAGGATAGCGTTCTTCTTCAGAATCTTATTATATGGCTCTTGGCATTATTTACATTGTGGAATGAGCTGGTGCTATCGTCACTTTCATGTGGTTCATATATTGGATATCGTAGATTTTGTTAATATCCTCTGATCTGTGAAATGTTAGCAAATACAATAGCAAGACTAAAATTTGCTACATTTTGTCGTTGGAGGTAGTTGTTTGAAGTTTTTAAGTTACTTCTATAATCTTGAACTTTCTTTCTTTTAACTGGTAATGAATGTCTTTCGCAGATGTTGAGGGATGCAAATTTCTGAGCAACATATTTATATGCCTATGGGCTTTGTTTCATTCAAAAGTCAACAAAAATGGTTTATATCGCATCATAAAGATATAGTCAATAAACTTACAGGATTTAAAATCACAAACATTACATTAAATACTTTAAAAAATGTAAATAAGACGAAACCATACTTATTTTCTACCAGTGGTTTACTTAAAGTACCAAACTGGAATCATGATTATAATAATAACAAAGTAACTATCAATAAAATCAGAAAGATAACTTTCAGATCTGTAACTTCATTTTCACTCATAATGTAATCAGGTACTAAAAACGTTGACTTTGATTTTTATCAAATTCAAAGTGCGAAATCTGAATTGATTTTATGAATAAAATTCACCATCTTAATAGCACCACGCGTTTTCAAAAAAATTTCATTACAGCTTTTCGTGTAAAGATTTTGCTTTCTCGAAAGTTTAGAGTTATAAATTAATTAATTAAAGTTATTCCTTTGTCAATGATAAACTGGATATACTTCCAACTAAAAGCCGAATTTTCTTAAACTTACAATAATAGTATTACCTGTAATGTTATGAAGTCGGTATTTGTAGTGGTAAATTTTTTATAATAATGTCTTTTTTAATTTACCATTTTAAATTCTATCAAATATAAAGGCAATTCAAACAAAGTTAAACATTCCCATTTTCTCGGAACAAGATTCAAGAGTTAAACCCGTCCCCATTTAGTGAACAAAGGAAAGCTTAAAAGAGGAGATTAATCTTACCGGAACGTCTTTGAAAACTTCCGGATCAAGATCGACCAACGGATTCTCGCTAATTTTCAACACCTGCAGTTTGCTAAGTTTGATGAACAGTCTTGGTGAAAGTTCTCGTACGTAGTTGCGGCGCAAGGACAAGATCCTTAACTCCGACAGGTGCCGGAAGGCTCCTGATGGCACTCTCGAGATAGCGTTGTCGTCCAAATTCAGTTCCACCAAATTCACCAAGCCTCGAAAGTTGTGATCGAACAACGTCGTTAAGTTATTGTGGGTCAAATTTAACACGCGTATGGAAGGTACGCCCCAGAACGCGTGTTGACCGATTTGAACGATGTTCGATCGAGTTATATGCACTTCTTCGAGCATTTTAAAACCTTGAAAAATCGAATTGACCGTTAAGATGTTCCATTCACGGTCTGGTGCGCTGATCTCGAGTATTTCCATATCCGGGTCCATATTAAATGTTGGTATTGGATCGATCATTCCACCTTTAGTGCAGGCGATGCGACGTTTTCCTGCTTCATCCACTCTGCAGAGACAGTCAATGGGACACATTGTATATGCTGGGTAGAGCCAAAGAAGAATTAGACATGGAGAGATTACATGCCAACGCAAGAGCATTCTGAAATTACAAAAAAAAAACTGTTAAATTGGATTTAATTAAATTCTACTTTATTACGGTTTAAAGAATTAAAATGTAATAACGTTTGATGTGAATAATTTTAATAATTTTATCATGTACCTTTAAATAATAAAACATCAAAAAGCTCTAGGACGTAGCAATCCGAGTTAAAACGCAGTAGCATCGACATGACAGGAAAAGTGCCACAATAACACGGTGCCGGAGGCCGTTTGGGAAATCACATCCATCACATGCCGGCACAACCAACCTACTACTACAGCGAAATTCGTTCCGTTCGCTTTATTTTACGCGACGATAGCATTGTTATTGCCTCGCTGGGGAAACAATTTCTCGCATATATTCCTTATTATGGCTTTATTTTCTCTTTAGTGTCGCAGGCAAACCATACAAATAAATTTTGCCATTATGGAGGAGAAACTACGTCCATCGTCGCCTAGGTTAGGTACGGACCACGTGAAAACGTATGGAAAACGGAAACCAATTTAGACTGATTTAATGCGGTTCACGTTAAATATTCATAAGAACCAACCAACGCTGGCAATTCTCTTCTTCTAATTCCAAGACTTCAGATAATATCACGTTGCGTGATTACCATGCAAATTTAATTTTAATTGTGAGACTAGAAAATGCGGAATTTGAATTCCTCTTAAGATTCTTACAGGATCATAGAAAATTATAACGTAGTTACTTTGGTGGTGATGTTTATTTTCGCATAATTTACTAAAATCCAGAATAAGTTTAGATTAATTTTAAAAATGTCCTAAAGGTAGTTAATTAAAACTATTTCGAAAACTAGTTGCAAAGTCTGGAAAATGTTCCGTTAAAATTTTACCACCGTGGGCAGTCGAAGCAATTAGTGTCGTGATTTATAATTCGCAACTTTTTGACAACCACGTAGACTAACTTTGCTGTAACTAAAATTTTTACGGGACATGCGGCAGATAAAATTCGTACAATGATTAAGTTGTTTTACACAAAAAACATTATTTTTTTTATTAGAGCTAAAACCATTTTGAACAATTACTAGTATTGATCAGAAATAAATAGTCCCACTATTATGTGGATTTGGCAACGACTCTAACGATTCCACACGCTTATTTGCATTAAACCATAACAGTTATTAAATGCAGTAAACGCGCACAACGCACTAATAGTAACATGACCTCAAATTCATTCGTTTTGTTTTCTAGAAAAATGAGGCTATGTTCGAGTTTATACATAAATATAAAAAATTTGATTAAAACTTTTTTATTCCAAGAAGCATTCTTTAATAGGAAATTTTTTTAACGCCCATAAAATATAATAAAATACCCCTTAAAATAGGGGTATTCACATCATTCGGGCTTCTGAGATTCGAGTTATGAAATTGTGTTTTGTTGTGAGTGAAAATTTTATACATTGTTTATTCATTACATTTATTACTATTTATTCTATGACACAAATAATGATTTCATAATTTTTATAATAACTTAGGTTATTTTTATGAACAGTTGGGAAAATAAGGTTTGCTAGTAAATATTAATCACAACTACATTGTCCATTTATAGGGAGTTGTTTTGGAACATAGTAAGTTTAGTCACCGAATTGGTTACAATATGTTGGAATTGGAATCCAGATAACGGTCACATTTTACGGCATTTCTGATTTAAATAAACCTAAATATGTCCGAGGGGCATAAATTGAATTACCTTCTTCTACTTAATTCCACCCGAACTTTCGCCAGTAGAAGCTGAAATGGTGAAATGATCATTGCATGACATGATTTCAAACATACAGATTATGTCGATTGGATGGGAATTATATTGGGATATAAATCGTATGGGAGAATTACTTTGCATTATTACGAAATAGTAATAAAACTCCAAGTAGATTTAGGTTCTCTATTATTCGACAAAATGCAAAGAATTTTCGGAATGTTAAGTCGTTTACTCAGTCTGCAGAACAGGAATCCATTAATTAAAACAACGAATTACAAGAGACTTTGGTGTGATTTTTTCGTCAAAGAAATAGCTGTTCCGGTACAATTTACTAAATTACGTACATTTTAAGTGTTCGTACCCAGCTATTGTTGTGCAGTTTAGGGCGCAGGGAACTTGTGACAATTACTAGATAATGTTGGTAACTTTAGTATCATAAATTTTAATATGACGACGTATTTACAACCATTTGAAGATGACGGTAATATGAGTTTGCTCTTAAGAAATTTTAGACGAAATTAAAATTCCAAAAAGAACCTGGCCACTGAGACTGGCCAGTGTTTTGTCAACGGCCGCAAATGAAGTTGTCGCTAGATTAAGGGAAGAAGATTCAAATGATTATGATAAAGCCAGGACCAGTTTATTAAAAAGTATTAGTTAATCTCTGATATCTTTACGGCCAAATTTAAATATGGCCAAAAGCAGTTTAACCAAAGTTGTGCGGAGTTTGTTTATCAATTAAAAAATATTAGTCATTTTTCAATAGTAATGGAATAATGAATACCTCAAAGGAGATTTTGGGTTGAAGATCACAACAAAATGAATACAAGTGAAGAAACAGCGGAACATGCGGATGTTTACATTTTGAAAAGGGGACAAATGCAGACAATAAATTTGAGCGAGAACATAAAACAACAATACAAACAGAAACAAATCAGAACAATTCTTCTAATAGGGCAACAAAAACGAAAGGAAAGAAGATGGGAAAGGAAGAAGTGTTATACTAGCAAAGGATAGGTCATTTTAAGAAATCAAAAAATATTTGATCAAATCAAAGCAAGAGGAAATAAGGAAGTAGTAGTTATAGAATTATTTGCTCCATATAGCAAGGAAGTAAACATTTTGAAAGATAGTGAAGACAAAACAGAAGCTGCAGTTTACCAAACAGGTACTCGTATTGTCAAATAAAACGTGAAAATTATGCAGTGATGTAGTTAATGGACAGAATATATTTGCATTAACCAAATTAAAAACAAGACAATTAAAGTACATCAGTAAAGGATTCAGGTAGAACAAAGTAACAGAAATTAAGAGCAAAAAGAATCTAAACAGAAAGAAAAATAAAATAAAGTAATAGAGGAAGAAAATCTAAACAAAAAAGAAATCTACGAATTATGATAATAGATATTGTTATAATATCTAGAGGGGCTATTTAGGATGTCGACTTAACAAAGACATCAAGAACAAAATAAAATATTGCAAGTAAGAAAAAGCACAGACAAGGTGAAACCGCTTGTGAGTCCAGTTCCAATTATAAAAGAACAATGCAGGAGGAGCTCAACACACCATTTTAATCAAATGTGGTAAATAGATTTCTGTCGTGTTTAAAAGAATACTCAAAGCATATTGATCAAGAATTATGAGAGGAAGTGCGCCACATGCAGCTAATGGTTTTAGTCCTGCGGAATTAGGCTATGGAAAGCAATAGATTAGATCTCCGTACCAAGCCATATTCGCAATCTCCAAGAGTACGAAAAATTTAATACGAAGAAATAGATAAAACGCTTAACTTAAAAGTAATTAGAATAAGTGGGACAAGTTCCAGGTTTTCCAGGTTTTTCGCCAAGGATGAAGATAGCAGTAAGAAGGAAACGAATCAACACCGCTAATAGTATATCGATCTTTAAACGCCATTACGATACCTGAATAACACACCAAAGTATTGCAACCACCAACTTTGACGTTTAACCTGCTCCGTAATCTTTCCAAAGATTGATGGATAAAATTCTGAAAGGTTATAATAAACTTGCCGAACCATATTTGGGTGATACAATAGTTCATTTCATAATAAGGAAATATTATTTGAATCTTTTGCGACTTATGTTAACAGCTATGCATTACATCGGTGTTACAATAAAAGCAAAGTAATGTGAGTGAGGAAAAACTCAAATTATTTATGTAGGACATAAAATTGGGCAAAGTTATATTCGCTTTATCTGAAGCAAAGATAGCTGCAATAACAGAATTTCGACAACCGGTAACTAAAAAGAATATTAAAATCTGTTTACGGACTACTGCATATTATAATCATTGTATACCAAATTATATAGAAATTACTAGTAACTTTAAAAAACTAACATTGACAAATGTTTACTTAAGGTGGAAGTAGTTTTCTGGATGCCAGAAATGTGGAACACTTGATGCAGAAATTACTAGAAGACGACTTTGACCGAAGAGTCTAATTCTGCAAAAAATAATTAGAAGACAATGTTAATTTTGTGATATTTCAATGATATGTTCAAATATCAATTTTTTCTGACGAGGCCACGTTTATACGTAATAGTTCTGTTAATAAGCAAAATTGTAGGTACTGGGCAACAAAAAATCCACATTGGATGCTAGGACATAGTATTACAGAAATACTCAGAACATACTCAGTATTCACAGAAAGTTAATGTGTGGGCGGGAATTGTTGATACCCGAATTCTGGGACTTTATTTTTTTTGAAGAAACGTTGACCGGGGAACGCTATTTGGAGTTTCTTCAGTTAGAATTGATTCCCGCTGTAGTTGCCATCTATCCCAATCAAGAGGATCGTGACTTACCAGACAATCGAATTTGGTTCCAATAAGATGGTGCGCTTCCACACTTTCACTCAATGTTTGATGATGTTTAGATGCGACTTTCACAGATGAATCGGAAGGAGGGGAAGTATCGTTTGGCCTCCTAGATCACCCGATATAACCCCATTAAACTTTTTCTCGTGGGCTATTTAAAATCGAAGATCTATTTCAACAGGCCGAATAATTTAAATTACCTAAAAGAGCGGATACGTAACGAGATTCGTTTAATTTCTTCCGCAATGTTGGGGAATGGCCAAGAGTCAATAATTGTTCGACTTCGTAAATGTCATGAAGCAGATAGGCGACAGTTTGAGCATTTGCTTTAAATTGAGTTTATTTTCCACGTTAGTTATTATTTGTTTTCATTTGTTTTATTTAATTTTTGTATTTTTGGTAATTAACCTAATAATTATAATAATAAACCTGATAATGGGGGGTT